GGGGTGTTTTTCTCGGGGTTGGGGGGTGGAGGGGGGAGGCGTAAATCAAGAAACAAACAAAAAGAAGATTTTGTACAAAAAAGCAAAATATTCAAAGAAATGTCCCTTTAAGAAAATAAATAAACAAATGGTCAGAAAAGTTCAAAATTACGCAAAGTACTTAATATAAACAAAACAGTATTGGATAACCAACTTGCATCTCCTTAAAAGTCAGATTTTATAAGTCTTTAGCCAGAACATAGAATACAACCATAGGCATATGCAACAAAATGATAGACGATGATAAATTTAAAACGAACAGGTCGAAATAGATGTCTACATAATGTTAGGAAGATTCAAAGAGGTTAGTGGAACTAAGGTTAACAGAGGTATACACAAAATGTACAAGGTTCGTTTAACTAATTAATGGTTAACCGCCGGACGCAGCTAGAATCAGATGAACACACCTAGCGCTGCTCTCTTCGCGTAATCCAAAAGTCTACACAGAACGATCCAGAAAGTTTTACAGTAAAAAATATGTTGTTTATTGAACAAGGATAATATGTATAGTAAAGGTTAAAGTCCTGATTTGAAAGAGTAAGAATATTTCAGTAACTAGAATCCAGACTCTGGCATCCGTTTCTAACACGAAAGAGCAACGAAAGTGAAGAAACATGAAACAAACCATCAACCTACAAACAACCCAGGCTTTAGAAAAAAAGATCCTTTTGCAGAGTGAGGCACTGTTGTCCAGTCAATAGTGTGAATAAAAAATAAAATTCTTTTACCTGAGCCGGTCATTTGTGTGAGTGTTCCTTTAGTCCAAGCATGAACATTAATTTGGCACAATTAAAATACAGTTTATGCCAGCTGCAACTACTGAGAGAAAGAATTACTCTGCTATTATGACCGAAAGCTTAGATTACATGTATGTACATCATATGTTTTATCACACATAGAGATTAAGAGAAGATTAAGTTCAGAAATCACATCACTTTATGTTAGGACTTTGCACAGGGGAATGTGTTAAAGATGGATTTTCTGGCGTTTGTTAGTTTGCGGGCAGTTAGGCAAAATAGCAAGAGGGAAGAAATGATTGAAGGAGACTGGAGACATAATCACTAAGGGGTACGGAAAGGGTGGGAGATTGCAACAAATCACATTGTTTTAGGCCGAGGACACTCGTCGAATTAGTTCGTTATCTTCACGGAACAGCAGCTCTGTTAGTATGAGCATCTTGGAATATTAGTTAGGTATACATAGAGGAGAGAAGAAGCTGGCTGAACAAAGTCCTTACCATCAGAACCTGGTGAAAATTTGGTAAATAAAATCGTTAGGAATATTGTCAGGAGACTCGAATAGTTACAATGGGGTTTATCTTCAGGGTTGATACATTGAAAACATACTACAATATTTCATGAACAACCTTTTACATCGTTTTGAAGGCATTCACCTGAGACAGTTGTTTATTTGTTGTGTTATTGCTTCAAAAAATAATCATCGCAACAACTTAAATTATATAAGCTTGCTTTGGAATACCCTACTTGTGCTTTTTTTATTTTCCAGGAAAAAGACATAAGTGTATTTCAACACAAGGCAGATGAGTTAAGGTTAAAACAAAGATGATAAGACAATGCATAAAAAACAACATATCCGAGCACATGTACACAGATAGTCAGATGTGTTGTCATTGTTTTACAAGGATTGCACAAGTTCAACCTTTCCTCTACTCTATATCACAATGAGCTCCCATCATTGTCCGTTCAGCAAGTTGTTGGTATGTACTTTTGTGTGGCCTTCTCCTTCAGGTCATCATCTTTCCTTCTCCAACAAAAAGAGAATTAAAGCAACAATGCCCCCCTCCGCCCCATTTATATTGTTCATTGTCTTTATTCTCTATTTCATTCTTTTTCAACGCACAGACTATTACTTGATCCACATAACAATATCAACGCACTCCACCCCAAACTACTTTCTTATTTTAGCCTCTCATTGCCACAAACAGAAACAGCAGCGAATGGAAAAAAAACACATAATCGAGTACGTCCCTTTCCTCTCCTCCGATACACATGACATGCTTCTTCGGTGATCTCCACTTCCTCTTTCTACTTAACATAAGATAACACTTGAATAACACCAATTACTACTTAACCAACCTCTTCTTTAAAATAAACACGCTTATACTCTTCTTCACCTCCCCCTTCCTGCCCTTCTTATTTCTTCCTCTCCAATATTTCTAGATCACAAGAACCGGCGTCTGGGCTGCAAAGGAAGGACTTCTTTGCACCTGCTTCATTTAGAAGACATAAATTGGATACTTGTCTGGAAAATGTATTTCTTCTAGTATCTCCGAGCATCTATTGGGATACTGCATTTCACTCAACCCGAGTTTTCCCTGATTGTCAAGTTCGAAGCAGCTCGCCTCTTATTAACTTCTTAAGTCCTAATTCGAGTTGTTTGGGACATAAAACATTTGCAATCATTCACAATCAGTCCAATCTGAGGAAGACAACACTCACTGATGCTCCTCTCTCGGATGTCTGTCTCTTTGAGCGGCCTCCATCCCTCCGGCCAGCGATAGTCCTCTATGTACACGGTCCAGTAGAACTGCGCCGCCGCCGTACAGCTGCTGCAGTCACAGTCCAGGGAGATCCGGGACGTCTCGAGGGCCTTGTAGCCATCGGTCATCTGTAGACACACACTGCCGGGGAGACACCTGGGGGGGGCATGGGGCGGTCATGTGACGAACGTGTTCATTTCTTGTTGACTTGTTAAGTTTAGCAAGTTGTTTCTGGTCGGTGGTTTTTTTGGTTGTTATTGTTGTGGGTTTTTTTGGGGGGGGGGACTTGTAAGTCTTTTTACCTTACTGTCCTTCAGTTGTTTTTGTCTGTCTGTTTGTCTTATTTTTTCCCAGTACTAAATGACTAGTATTGTTTTGATCTGCATCTCTTTATTCAGAAAAAGAAAGCAAAAAAATAGCCATGTTTTCTGTTTGATTTGAAGCAGGATTAGTTTTCATAGTAATCAATTTATCTCGTGGTAGAAACCAAGGTTGCCATGGTTTATTAATAATTAGATTTAAGCTTGATAAACTGAAAAAAACCTACATACGTGTATTTTTGAGCTAACGATGTCTGTTGGTTTAAAAAGGGAAATAAATCTCAAGATAAGACAGTGTGGCTAAACCATTAGATGATATTGATTCAGTGTAGTGAATTAGTGCGTTGAAAAAGGTTATAATTTCCATCAGTATCCTCGCCATCGTTACTGTACAGTCGAGAGGAAGACATCAGGGGAAAAACGACTGTAGTCACAAACTGAAAATCGTGAGGGTACCCCACTTTTAGTTGATTATTGTTGTTAGATTTCCCATTCATCAACACTTAACAATAAACCACCAGTCAAACAAATATTAAGTTATGAGTCCCCACGCTTTTAACATTGGCACCCTCACAATTTCCAGTTTGTGACTACAGTCGTTTCCCCCCTTGTGCTCTTTATATGGAGACTCGGGTTGTATTGCAAATGTTATGGTATTATTAAAACAATTTTTCTACGTTTCGTCCCATTTGGGCTTCAGTTGGAACCTATTCAGATAAAAACAACAAATAAACAACAGCACTATAGAAATAAAAGCTTTCCCTTACGACTTGATGTGTATTGGTACACACCTTCATCATAGCGATATTTCAACATTCACATTTACAGGAGGGGGGGGGCGTGAGATATAATTATATATATATATATATATATATATATATATATATATTTATATATATATATATATATATATATATATATATATATGTACATATATATATAATATATATTATATATATATACATACACATATATATATATCTAATATATATATAGATATACATGTATAGATAGATAGATAGATAGATAGATAGATAGATAGATATATATATATATAGAGAGAGAGAGAGAGAGAGAGAGAGAGAGAGAGAGAGAGAGAGAGAGAGAGAGAGAGAGAGAGAGAGAGAAAATCAAGCAGTACTTGATAGTGGCAGCAGGGGGATTACTCCCATCCATCCGGATGTTCACAACAGCAGAAGCTACTCTTGTGTCTTTTTGCAGTTGCACTGTAATCTTGTAAGTATATCCATCCACCAGACTAGAACCAAGAACGTTCAAGGAACCAGCGGTACCACCCGAAGTGAAAACACTGCATGTCGACTGATCAGTGACGTCGATAACTTCACACTGCCATGAGACCACTGAAAGTCCCTGTGGAATAAAAATAAGGTCATTTTAAAACTGTTAATATTTAGATCTATTCTACTTTAGCTTTTTTCGGTTTATTACGTTTTTATGGGATGCACTGTTAGCTCAATTGATATTATGCCGAACTATAGAGCTGATAACACTGCCTGATTCGAAACACTCATGGAGCATTTTGAACTTGTTTCCCGTAAGTTTTAAGGCCCTGAACACATTGGCTTGGTGGAAATGGAATTTAATAATTTGCAGGCGCCGCGCGTCTCTTTAATAACTTTACAGTGTTAAAAAGAAGGCCAGACCTATACAACAGCTGGCACAAGTAGCTCCGTCTTTATGGAGGCAGGAACATGCGACTTGTTACACTGAACTCAAAGTATCCATATCCGTACACTCCAATGAAAAAGAAGGACAAACACGGTGCTATTTCAATATGTCACTGTTACCTGATTTGATGCTCGGTGCTGAAGTAGTAAGTCCTCATTGGATTTCAGCCCTCTCCCTTTACTAGTGGAGAGCAAAGTTAAATCCACCACGACCCACACCACCACCACAATAACAATAACAGCAACAACAACAACAACAACAACAACTACATCAACAACAACAACAACAACAACAACAACAGGCGTCGGTGGCCTAGTGGTTAGGCTCTTGGACTCGCAACCGTAAGGTCGTGGGTTCAAATCCCGTCAGGTGCCCGACGTTGTGTCCTTGGGAAAGGCACTTCACGAATTTCCCTCACTTCACCCAGGTGGGAATGGGTACCTGGCTATAGACAGCGAAAGATCTTGTCAGTTTGTTAGTGTTTGAGCGCTTAATCAGCAGCTTGCACTGTATGCTTCCCGGGAAGCTGAGAATGTTTCGGAGTGTTCTATGGTCTGCTGGGGGTAATAATATAGTGTAAAGCGCACACAGCCTGCTGTTAAACGGGGATATGCGCTATACAAATGCTATCTATTACTATTATTATTATTAACTACATCATCATCAACAACAAGAACAACAACAATAACAACTACTACAACAGCATTGCCAACAACATATTCTACTCCATTACCACCTAAACATGTTGACTCTACACACACACACACACACACACACACACACACACACACACAAACACACACACACACACGCACACTCACATAAACACACTCACAGACACACACACAATAACAACAACAATTATTCGATGAGGACAACGGAAACTTCACTGTCTTATTAGTCACCAGAAAGAGGCAGCGCCCGGGCAATTATTTTAGGAAAACAAAGAGAGACTGGACTGCCTAGCCTAGCGAAACGGTGGTGCTGACGAGAATTCTATTCTTCGGGGTCGCAAATACACGTAACAAAGAAATCATTTATGATTTTGTAAGCCTCCCAAACGTGTTGGACACACACACATACACACACACACACAGAGAGAGAGAGAGAGAGAGAGAGAGAGAGAGAGAGAGAGAGAGAGAGAGAGAGAGAGAGAGAGAGAGTGAGAGAGAACAACAAAAGCAAGAACGACAGCAAAAACAAGAGCATGACAAAAACAAAAAGAAAAGAACAGTAGCAACAATTACGACAGAAACAAAAATACGTAATTTCACCTGTGCAGCCGCTGGATCAAGATCTGGGTCCTTGGACCATCTCAGGGGTTCCAGTGTGATCGTCTGAGAGGAGCCTTTCGTCATTTCTGTCATGCCGCCCTCCACTAACATAGCCAGGAGTGGGGAGGTCACCACCTTATGGAAACAATGATTCATAACATACGGTTAGTGACGGTTTTGTTTTGATGAGTTTCAGAGCTACGTTCTGGTGTGTGTGGTTTCATAGTTAGGCTCTTTGACGTTACGTACAGAGGACCCTTGTTTGATTCCCCTGTGGGATATATTTTTATTGAATGTCCCCGTTATTCTGTTGGGGCATTGTATCTCCTCGGCCCGGATTAGTCTTGACAAATAGAGCTGAAACTTGTCTTCTAAATGGTCTAAATTGTGTCGATGGGAGTGTAACATACCTTCATTTAAAAAGAAACAGCTGCAGACCCTGCAGTGGTGATGTAATAGTCAGGCTCTTCGACGGTGTGCACAAGAACCGTGAGTTCTATTCTCGTGTCATCGAGAAAGTCAATTTTGGATCTGATATATTTATTATTTTATCCCCTTCTCTCTACCCAGGTAGGCCTTGAAAGATAAGGCTGAAACGCCGAACGTTTTAGTTGTCTAAATAGTGTTGATGGGGTGTTAAAAATGTGCAACCCCAACTGCTGAGGCGGCTCCTGTTTCCTATGTCCTTATGTTGTTGTGTCTGTCTGTGTCTTGTCAGTTGGCCTATTATAGCTTGTAGACTTACTCAAATTGAAGATACAAGTAATATCATCACAACCTCCCCCCCACCTATTTTTACGTAGTTATAGATTTCTTTTAAAATTACATATCGGTTTTAGAATGAGCATAACTGGAGTGAGTGAGTGAGTGAAAGAGTGAGTGAGTGAGTGAGTGAGTGAGTGAGTGAGTGATTGAGTGAGTGAGTGAGTGAGTGAGTGAGTGAGTGAGTGAGTGAGTGAGTGAGTGAATGAGTGATCCATGTACCTTGAAGTAGGTGAAGGCCTGACCATTGAACAGAGTGACGGCCCCATTGCTCGTCCTCATATCCATGATGTAGCTGGCTTTGTACAGACCTAGAGGCAGATAACGGGCAGGGATGTACAGCTCCGCCTTGTTCCTGGTCAGACCCGACATGTCCACTGTAGGGGTCAAGATATCACCAGTCGACGGGTCGATGGGATCTATCTCCCAGTTCTGTGAATAAAATTGAATCAATTTGAAGCTTAAAATCATGGCTCTGTTTATTCACATATTTTGATAGTTAAAAGTGCATCAGTTTATTGGTATGAAACAAGTCGGTCAAACTTCTCTAGAAGCCAGCTCTGGTAACAAGCAATATCAATACTGACCAAAGACTACGGGTTTAAAGGCCAAGTATATCATCGTAAGTGATGCCAGTGGCATAATGTGCTTACTTTGTTTTGTAATTTAACCTAAAGACACTGTATGTAATGTTGAGAAAAATGTTCTTTTCAGCCAGTAATATAGTTGCTGTTGTTGTTGTTGTTGTTGTTGCTGTTGTTGTTGTTGTTGTTGTTGTTGTTGTTGTTGTTGTTGTTGTTGTTGTTGTTGTTATTGAATTCAATTTAGAAAAAAAGGGTAAAATCTTTCCTTACTCAAGTACTCACTGACACTGAAGCTTAAAGGAGACATATGAATAATTTACTGTGTTCTTCATTCTAATTTTAAATATAAATACTTGAACGTTTCAATTTATTTCTTTTTAAAGATCATTTGAAACAGTGCCATGGAAATAATTATTATTCGAATGAATCTTATGGTTTTTTTCTCACTGAAGTAAATTATGTGGCATAACGAGGTTCATGGAATTAAGGATTCGATCTCTCTCCTTGGCTAAAAGTGGAGTGATTTCTATATTGAAAATGAATTCCAGTCAGCCCTCACTGTCGCATATCATATTCATAATATGTTTCTTTGATTGTATTTATTTCGAAACAAAAATTGGTAACAGAAAATTTGAAATCTCACTTATATGAAAATATGCTATCATACAGGATGCAATATGCCCCCAATTATTCGGTATTTATAAAACAACGAGAAACTGATATACTTAACTTGCTCCTATCTTTAAGGTGGTCTCATGCATTGGAAATAATTGAAAAGTGAGTCGTATAAATACATAGATAGATAGACAAACAGACAGACAGTCACCCAAACAGACACACAGACAGACAGACAGACAGACAGACAGACAGACAGACAGACAGACAGACAGACAGACAGACAGACAGACAGACAGACAGACCGACAGATAACAAAATCGGAGAAACAGACATTTTCCTACCAGTTCGGAAATTTTTATTGAATTTTAATTTTTTGGCTTAAAGTCTTGTAGGTCCATATAGAAACACATTTCCATATGAATTTTACTGGAAAAACATTATTAAAGGCATCACAGGTGTCATTTTTTCAGTTTTCAAAGACTCTTTTGGAGTTGCTAAACTTTGGCGGCCATTTCCTCTCAAATTTCAACACTGAAAAATGGCGACCTCACCTCCTTTAATCGCAAATAATAATAATAATAATAATAATAATAATAATAATAATAATAATAATAATATATAACATTTATATAGCGCATTTCCAAAAAAGGAGCTCAATGCGCTTTACATTGGAATACCCATTTTTCAAAAAAAAATTCTTACTACTTCCTTTCTTCTCATACAATATACATTAATGCACACACACACACACACACACAGAGAGAGAGAGAGAGAGAGAGAGAGAGAGAGAGAGAGAGAGAGAGAGAGAGAGAGAGAGAGAGAGAGAGAGAGAGAGAGAGAGAGAGAGAGAGAGACTATTTTCATCCATACATAGGAACGGAACAAATATAATGAAAGATAACGTTAAAAGCTTATTATGAAGGATAGGCCTGTAGGAACAGAACATGTTTAAGATGTCTTTTGAAGCTATCAAGTGTTCTTATTTGTCTTAGTTTCATGGGTAATCTGTTCCACATAAATGGACCAAGATATGAGAAAGATCTCTCTCCATATGATTTGTATGATTTTACAGGTGTCACAAGTAGGGTGTTATCGTTTGATGATCTTGTAGATAGAAAGGAGCAGTTTTATTTACACATTTGAAACACATGACGCAGATCTTAAATATTATTCGTTCTTTTACAGGGAGCCAATGCAGTTCTTTTAATAATTGAGTGACATGGTCTCGTTTTTTAGATCTTGTTATCGGTCTAGCGGCATTGTTTTGAATTACTTAATTGAGTTTTGTTCAAGACTAGCTGGGCCCCCTTTCGATGAAAAGAATGGTCGGTGCATTAACATCAACTGAAAGTCAATGTAATGGAGCAATTAATCTTGAGAAAAAAGTGACACACATTTTTCCAGGTTGCCAAATAAATGATAGATGTACAGATTAATTCTCTATTTCGCTTTCGTGGTTGTACACTCTAGAATTAATTCAAAGGTATGGAACCAGTGCGCACGGATAGTGAACGGAAACCTCACTTGTTTACGATGCGTCTTAGAAGACGGACTTTCTCATGATTCTGTGTGGACGAAACAAAGCATTTTGGAAAAATCGGGGAAAGCAGTTTGCGTGGATTTTTTAAAGTTAGGTCCTAGCCACATGGATGCTGCGGACGCCTTCAAAGTTTCAAAGGTGTGTGTTAGGTAATAAGGGAGGAGTTTGTGCACAAAACTCTCCAAAGTCCACTTTTATATATATATATATATATATATATTTATATATATATATATATATACTAGCTGGGCCCCCCTTTCAATGAAAGTAATAATCGGTGCTTTAATATCAACTAAAAGTCATTGGCCTACTAGGCCTATATCTACACACTACTGGAATGGGGAAATAAATCTTGAGAGATGCAAACAATTAGAAGGTCTAGATGTATACTCTCGAAACAAAATGCGCCTCGCGAAATATCACTTCCGGATTTTCTTAAATTACAGAGACAGAAGCGTCGGCCTACAAAAGCGATCGGCGAAATAAAGAAATTCAGCTTTTTGCAGCAAAACTGTCTCAAAACTGAAAAATCCAAGGGCGTCATGATCTGGAGAATATTTTAAAGAATTTGTTGGCGAAAAACGCATGTCGATCGATGCAGCCATTAAAAAGCCTTTTGAATAGCAAAATTCGGCCACCACAAATAGATAATAGATATACATGTATAGATAGATAGATAGATAGATAGATAGATAGATAGATAGATAGATAGATAGATAGATAGATAGATAGATAGATAGATAGATAGATAAGCGGATGTTTATTTCATTGGAAGCAAGACTTCCAGATGATACAAATAACTCCACATGCCAAAAATTAGACGAGCGCCTGATTCCACCCTATCGTCAAACATATAGGTGTCTCCCTCCAGCTCACCTTTCCATTGTTGAGACTTCCGGGGCAGTTAATGTCTGCCAGGCCAAGGATGGAGGTGGCAGCGCTGCGGAGATGGTCTAGTGCCTGGAAGTAGGCCGTCTGACTGTTGTGAATTCTGAGACCGGGCTGGGAACAATCCCCGGGGGCGATAGGGATGGTCAGAACTTTTTCCTCGCTGCCGTACTGGTTCATGGCTGTAACGGTCACCGTGTAGAGCCCTGGAGTTCAGAAAAAAAAATGAAAGGTAACTTCATTTGTGGGATTTTATTTTTAAAAAGGAAAGTACTTAAAATAATGTTAAAAGCTAATGAAGGATAGGCCTGTAGGAACAGAAAATGCTTAAGATGTGTTTAGAAGCTATCAAGTGTTATTGTTTGACTTAGTTCCATGGGTAATCTGTTCCACATAAATGGACCATGATATGAGAAAGATGTCTCACCATATGATTTGTATCGTTTTACGGGTGTCACAAGTAGGGTGTTATCGTTTGATGATCTTAGTTTTCTCCCTGGCTTATATATATACTAATAAGTTCTTGCAGATAAAAAGAAGCAGTTTTATTTACACATTTGAAACACATGACACAGATTTAGATATTATTCTTTCTTTTACCGGGAGCCAATGCAGTTCTTTTAATAGTGGAGTGACATGGTCTCGTTTTTTCGATCTTGTTATCAAGTTGATAAAATTTGCAGATGATTCAACTATAACTGTGCTAATTCAGGCTGACCATAACGAAACCGCTTACCGGAATTTTGTACTTAATTTTTCTGGATGGTGTGAAAATCATAAGCTGCTTTTAAATGTGAAAAAAACAAAAGAACTTGTCGTTGATTTTAGAATAAAGAAACTGCCCCTGCAGACACTCAAAATGAAATGTGAAAACATCGAGCAAGTGTCAGACTATAAGTATTTGGGTGTTACAATAGACAACAAACTCAACTGGCGTGTCCACACTTCTCTCCTGCATAAAAAAGTGAACAAAAGACTATTTTTTCTTAGAAAGCTAAAGTATTTTAAAGTTGATAAAACATTGATGTCCATGTTCTACCATTCAACCATAGAAAGTATTATCAATTTTTGTATAACAGCATGGGCCGGGAACACAAGACAACAAGATAAAGAAAAATTAAATCGACTTATACGGAAAGCATGTAAAATTTCAATATCTTCATTCCCGTACTTGGCTGAATTGTACATAACAGCTTGCACTAAGAAAATTAATTCCATCTTTTTAGACAACAAACGTCCCTTGTTCCCTCAAATAAAAATATAAGTCAGAAGTAAAAGACCAATGCTTCTGATCTGTAACAAAGAAAGATACAGAAGGTCATTTTTACCATCATCTATCAAAATGCTTCCATCTTAACCATCTATCTTGTTTAGTGTACTTACGACCTTAGAGCATGCATCAAAATAGCATTGAGTGTGTATCTAGCTTACGATTATTATTGTTTATATTGCTGCTCATTTATATTATGTATGTGATTGTAAGCCTACTTGTGTGTGCATGTGCGTGCACGTGTGTACGTGTGTGTGTGTGTGTGTGTGTGTGTGTGTGTGTGTGTTTGTGTTTGTGTGTGTGTGTGTGTGTGTGTGTGTGTGTGTGTGTGTGTGTGTGTGTGTGCGTGTGTGTGTTCGTGTGTGTGTGTGTGTGTGTGTGTGTGTACTCGTGGTGGAACACCAAACCAATGTGCCAGGATCTGGACAATAAAGATGTATCTTATCTTATCTTATCTTATCTTATCTTATTGTTTTGAATGACTTGTAAACGATTCAAATATTTGCCGTTCAGAACTGCTTTGAGTGAGTTACAATAGTCTAATCTAGATAGGGTAAGAGTTGTTATCTATGTTTTTGTGGTCTCTTCGTTTAAATACTTTCGAACTTGGCCTATCCTTCTCAGCTGAAAATAAAGGAATTTTGACAGAGATCCTGCAAACCAACCGAGTGATAAGTGGTGGCCAATATATACACCGAGATTCTTGATGACGTTTTTACTAGATGCCATATGCCCATATAAATCAAAGTAGATATTTTCTAGATCTTTATTTAATCGTAAATTATTTATAAGAATGATGTCTTTCTTTTCTTCGTTTAGTGTCAATTTGTTTACTGTCACCCACTTTTTAATTTCCTAAAAACATTGTTTAGTGATAGAAACCATGTTTGGCAGAATGATTTTGAATGGTGCCATTAACGTGCATTTGGGAATCATCGACATAAAAATGATAATTCAATCCATGATTTCGTTAAATGCTTGCTAAGGGTTGTGTATATAGGGTAAAGAGCACAGGCCCAAGAACGGACCCTGTGGAACTCCATAATCGAGTCTGACCTGCTTTGAAAAGCTATTTCTAATTTGCACATATTGAACTCTTTCTGGTAAATATGACTTTAACCATGAAAGCACAGTACCTGATAAGCCAAATGAGCGCTCAACCTTGTGAGTAAAATGGAGTGGTCAATTGTGTCAAAAGCTGCTGCTGACGGATCCAAATGAGTTAAAAGACATATGTTTTTGCTATCAACGGAATCCAATAAATCAGACGTTACTCTTAAAAGCGCAGTTTTGGTACTATGATGAGTTTTATAGGCAGATTGGTAAATTTCCTCTAGACCATTTTTTTTTCTAGTGAGCCAAACATTGACTTAAACAATCTTCTCTAGAATATGTTTTGACAAATTGCAAATTCGAAACTGATTGATATTTTTTTAATTTCATTTTTCTCAAACCCTGGTTTTTCAATACAGGTTTTACAATAGCTCGTTCGAAAGTATATGGAACAGTGCCTGTGGCAAGTGACATATTGTTCACTATCTGAATAATGTGAGGTTGGACAATATCAGTACAGGTTTTGAGTACATGAGCAGACATGGGGTCAAGGTCACATGTTTTTATGGTTGACCCATTAATACAATTTAAATTATCACTATCTGTAACTGGACTAAAAGAATCTAATATCTGTCCAGTAAATTTTGAAAATTATAATTTTCCATTCGGCTCTAGGTCGAGTGAAGAGCGTATGGTATTAATTTTGTCATTGAAAAAAGTCACTTATAAGCTGCAAAGTTCGTCATCTGATGTTGCACAGGGGAGAGGGGATACTGTTTCTTTTCCCAGAATAGCATTGGTAGTCTGAAAGAGTTGTTTGGATGATTTCACAACTTGTAATTTGTGTAGATAGTATCTTTTTTTTTCTTTTTTTTTTTTTTTTTTGGGGGGGGGGTATTTTCGATGACTGAGTTGACTTTGTCTTGGTGGTTAATAAAGATGCCTCTGTGAACTTGGAGTTTTGATTTCCTCAACCTGCGTTCTGCCTGACGTCGATGTTTCTTGGCTTCTTTGATTTCAAGTGAAAACCATGGATAAAAAGGTCTCGACGAAATGTTTCTTTTTACCATTGGAGTATGTTGGTCGATTGCCGCTTTCAGAGTGTCATGAAATGTGTCAGCATCTAGGGATGATAGACTTGTCAGTGTTTTGCTCACGTCGTCCCGAAGTGCCTGTGTGTCTATTGTTCTCGTGTTCCTTGAAAGTATGTTTCTTCTTTCTTGCTTTGGTTTGTAGATGTTAATGTCAGCTATCAGAAGAGAATGATCAGATATAACCTTATCTTGAACCTGATGTTTAAGAACATGTGGGTAAGCAGTGTTGGTAATTAGCAGGTCTAAAATGTGACCACTACAATGTGTCGGCTCTTTGATTAACTACTTTAGATTACGATCGTCAAGAATTGAAACAAGGCGTTTGGTGTCTCGTGCAGATGAAACATCAAAGTGAAAGTTGAAATCCCCTATGATGTAAAAGGGGGAGGCAGCTTGCTCTAGTTGAAATAGTAGATCTTGGAATTCTTGGAAAAATTCTTTACTTGTAAATTTATTTTTCTTATTAGGTGGTGGTCGATAGATACATATCGCAAAGAAGGTACGTTGCTCTGATTTGGTAAAAGCAGTGGCTGATTCAAAAGTGCGATACGATGGATCATCGCAGATGACCTTTAATGGTAGACCTCGCCGATGAATAAAAGCAATTCCGCCACCGTGTGAGTCGCGTGAAAAAGACCATCTGTTCGAAGCCAAGTTTCTGTGATGTACAACAGGTCGATGGTCATTTCTTCAATTACGTCTCTTACAATGTTTGTTTTGTTGCAGCACGACAGGGTGTTAATACAGCCAATTTTTAAGTTTTGACAGTTACGTTGAAACACATTACGAGTGTCTATCTGCATTAATTTTTCTTGTTCACAGTAGTCACAGTTCTATTGTTAGAAACAGTGTCACCAGGAATCCCCTGACTCACCACAATTTGTCTCTGTTTCCTTGTCCTACCTCTCGTACCCCTCTTGTCTCTCTTCACTACCTTTGATTGACAAACACAGCTGTTTCTAACTCCTAACTGGGTCAAAGTAGTTAGCACGTCTGATGGTATGCTCAGACTTGGATTGTTTACATTTACAGCAGATCTTTTGTGTACTTAGTTGTTTTCCCTGTTTGAATCAGTGCGCAAGGGTGTCCGTGTGTCTGACACAGTTCTGAAAGCTCGTGGTGTCTGACTGGGCCCACGCAGTGTGTTTAACACAGATCTCTTGGTTGTTGACACAAGATGACGCAGGGATATTGTGGTATGATCTAGAGTTCACAACAAAACTGTAAACTTGCCGAAAATAGTTCAATAAGGCCAGTGTAAGAATTAGAAGTTCCAAGGCTAATATTAGTCTGGATCTTGTCTTTATATCCAACATTTTTACACCACTAGTTGAAGCAAATCAAGGGCTTTCACGTGATATTAAATTAGTAGAAATCACATTTCATAATCCAAAGAAATGGCGAAAAAATGCACAGAGATGTTTCAGCAGCCTGTTAGGCGCTTGAACACAACACACGTTATAATCTTTACAGTAGCTACCTAGATCTACCTACCCCCCCCTTCTCTCTCTCTCTCTCTCTCTCTCTCTCTCTCTCTCTCTCTCTCTCTCTCTCTCTCTCTCTCTCTTTCTGCCACGACCTATTGGTAGCAGATGGAGAGAAATTGTGTTTCAAGGTGATAGTAATGTCAATATGATTTTATAAGTGGACCCTTTTATGTCTTTATTCTTAGCCCAGCAGTCTAAAGTGCAACTCTTCTAGTGCACATGCTCATGCTGTTATCAGATTGAAGATCATAGCACTTACACGTGGGCGTCCTCTCTGGCTTCATGTTTTAGATCTAGAATCTATATGTCTTTTTTAATTCTTTACCCTAACTTTTTGTTACTGTCAAGTCTTGAATGACTTTAAAGACAATAAAGCACACAAAATACGACGAAAATATCCCTCTATGTATTTGAGGAAGTCTAATGCAGGCATATCCCACAATTTCCTTATATACCGTTATTTCAGCTGGTACTTTTCTGGACTACGATATGCATGGCCAAAGAGAGAGTCTCGGGGGGGGGGGGGGGGGGAGGGGGTTCTTGTAGTTGAATCGTTGGCGGAGTTTTCGAGGCTCCTCGTCCATTCGACAGTACTATTATACAGGGATGTTTAATTTGGAGGTTGCGCCTCACATGAAGCCTCAAAACGCTTACTAAACATAACTAAAAGTAACTAAAGTACCTATAACATACCATACAAAACCCTTCCCCCACCACCTCTTATTGTGGAAGTAGCGGAAGATCTCTGTCCTGTCTAGCCAGGCTGACCAACTTTGCTCAAGACCAAGGATGGAGACGACAGCGCCTGGGTGTACAGGTATGACGTCGTTTTAATCTATTACCAGGCATTAATGGCATTCTATCAGGGACTGGATTTAATTCGAGTATTGTGCTTTTTGAAGTGATTCAGCTCAGCTTGAGTCGAAAAGGACTAAAACGCTTAACAGTGGCCCTAGGTGCAGAGATCCCATCATACCCAAAACGCTCTCCCAAAGTTTGGGTACATCATTAGCTATCGTAAAGGTCATACAAACGAAAACCATGGCCCTGCCCGGTTCTAAAGACAACGCGATATTCCGACAGCACTGCAGCCTATACCAAACAATCGAATTCCGAGAGAAAGAGGTTTACCATAGGACACGCGACAGAGAGAAAGGAAGACGATTGACCATAATATAATACACTTTAGCCGCAACTATTGGCTGTGATGATGCCGACAGGCAAAGGATAACAGGTCATGTTTAACGGAGTTTAATAAGTACGCTCGAATTCACCGGTGTGTGTGTGGTGTAATTGTTCGAGTGTTAGGTTTTGCTTGCTGAAGTCGTGAGCTTAATTCCCAAATAATATAGAACTTTGTAGGTTTTTAAAAAAAATAGAGAATGCAGGTTCGAAGCAACCCATCTCTTATATGATCTAAGTCGCACCGAAAGGGACGAAACATGTAAACTACTTAAACATTTCTTTTTTAAACGTACGTACCTTTCGAGCCGTAAACGTGGCTGGCAAATCCAGTGAGAAGATCAGTCATAGTGCCTGCCTGTGTGGCGGACGTGAAGCCTGGGTCATTGCATGAGGGAAAGGAGTCGGAGTACTTCAATTTTCCGCCGGTAGAGGGCTCGCCCCAGTCAATGTACACACAGGTGTCTGAACCGTAGTCGTCGAGCCGTATCTGTCACACAATTAGTCAGTTTGATAATCGATGATGATAATGATCATAATCTTAATAATAGTCACAATAATAATCACAAGAAGAAGAAGAAGAAGAAGAAGAAGAAGAAGAAGAAGAAGAAGAAGAAGAAGAAGAAGAAGAAGAAGAAGAAGAAGAAGAAGAAGAAAGAAGAAGAAGAAGAAGAAGAAGAAGAAGAAGAAGAAGAAGAAGAAGAAGAAGAAGAAGAAGAAGAAGAAGAAGAAGAAGAAGAAGAAGAAGAAGAAGAAGAAGAAGAAGAAGAAGAAGGAGGAGGAGGAGGAGGAGGAGGAGGAGGAGGAGGAGGAGGAGGAGGAGGAGGAGGAGGAGGAGGAGAAGAAGAAGAAGAAGAAGAAGAAGAAGAAGAAGAAGAAGAAGAAGAAGAAGAAGAAGAAGAAGAAGAACATCTTTTATCAAAAGAGGTGATGAACTACTTTTTTCTACAGCACATAGTTTAAAGCGGCTTTTTATCTTCTATTAAATATAATTATGATACACATAAATTCTGCACACTTTTTACGCACTCTGATTGAATCATTTGCATATCAATACTAAAGGTATAAAGGGTATTGGTCACAATTTTCCATTTTCGTTCTCTTCAGTCTTGAGCTCTTATTTGGCTTCATCCATTTTGCAAATCAAAACAATTTTTCGTCGTTTAATTAAGGCTGCGGTCATAAATCACTACCCTAGCTCTTTCTGGGCGAAGGTTTTTGGGGGTCTAGACATAATTAACTTGTGGCTCGATATGGATATGCAGGTGGTGAAATAATAACTTCACAGAAGCATAACCGTCCCTCAAAACATAACATATGATATACCAAATTGAAGGAAATTAAATGAGGAATACATCCCAATATGAAACAAGGATTAATTTTGAACACAAGTATGCATTAATTAAAAGGGTTAGAAATGGCGATGGTGATGAGAAAAATAAATTTTGATGGAAAAAATTTATTCACCAAACATGCGAAAGCAAATCAGCATAGCTATCTTATCATATACAAGCCAAAAGCATAATCCATAAATTTATGAATACGCAGCTTTTTCTCTGAAAGCGATTTTCAATTTTTGTTGGAGTTATGATATTTATACGGAGTCCGGTTACATCGTTTTGTTGATGCAAGACCGCAAGAACTAATTCACTCGTTTTTCCACAAACCCACGTTTTGACAAAGTGAAACTAGATCTAGATGTTTTCGTTTCCTAAATCCTTTCCGAGTTTATCAATAGCAATAAAAAGTAATTATTACAGATGACGAATCGTGTTAAAATGAAACAAAACTGAGATACCCTATCACAGCCGATATATCGGCGATACGTCCGGAAAGAGACTAGAATTACACAGTTATTTCTGTTCTATGAATTTTAAAGGAGAAATTTGACTTTAAAATGTCGAGTTTCCCAGCATGTCCAGCTTTTTCGAAAGCAGTTGTTGGAATATCATGATAACGACTGCGAATAATATTTTTGATATAGCAGAACATTTTTGGTTTCTGACCCCATGGTCTTAGTAACTCAAAACGGTCAAAAAAAGTCAGATAGACCTTTGTGTGTAATAATAATAAAAATAATGAACATCATTTCTATAGCGCCTACTCCAATGTAAACACAGCTCTAGGTGCTTTACATAAATTCATGTACGAAGATTATTCACGCTCGTGACACACACACGCACGCACACACACACACACACACACACACACACACACACACACACACACACACACACGCACACAAACACACACACACACACACACATACTCACGCACACATTACACGCACACATGTGCAGACACATGCACGCCAAACACACACACACACACACACACACACACACACACACACACACACACACACACACACATCTACTTGCTTATCACACGCGCACGCTTACATATTGTTACGAAATGAGCACATACACATACATAACATAGAATACTATACACAATGCAATTCGCAAAATACATAAATGGATAAATACATAACATTGTATTGAACACGAATCTACTGACATAAAAATTATGTCATTAAATGTGTCTTTAAAGATTTTTAAAATTTTGACTCTGATGTTGCATGTCTCAAGGGTTGGGGAAGAGCGTTCCAAACTGATGAAGCTAGGTTGGCAAACGACCTTGCAGCTTATTTTTTTACCTCCTTTTCTAGGAACTCTTAACAGATACTGATCGCCTGAACTTAGTGATCTAAATGGAACATAAATCTGGATGAGATCACTAAGATATGAGGGAGCTTTGTCATTGACACATTTATGACATAATACTGCAATTTTATTTGACATTCTAGCAGACATGGGAAGCCAATGAAACGTTCTTAACATGGGAGTAGGGTGATCCCTCTTCTTTTTCTTTAGTACAAGCCTAGCAGCATGATTTTGAAAATGTTGTAACTTGTGAATAGTGGTATTTGGTAAGTTAGCTTGTAAAGCATTGCAATAATCGATGCGTGAAAACAAGAAAGATGACACGAGCGTTTTCAAAGAGTGTTCATTCAAAAACATAGATATATGACCAATTCTACGCAATTCACAAAATAAGATGGTACGTAAATAATTGATAAGATGTTCCATTGACAATTTTGAATCAAAATACACTCCCAGAATTTTTGCAGTATCAGTAAAATACAGTTTTTCATTTTCAGTACAAAAATGATCAAGGTCTATGGGGATATGGCTTTTCTTTGGGTTACATAAAAGAATTTCAGTTTAATTTTCATTAAGCTGGAGATTATTATCAAACATCAACTTTTTGACATCATCAATGCACAGAACCATGGTGGTAAGCAAGGATTTAATATCTGCTGATGGTGGAACAGATTTATATAACTCTGTATCGTCTGCGTACATGTGATAATTCATATTGTGCTTTCTGATCACAGCTCCAAGCGGCTGTGTATATAGCGTATACAAGATTGGACCCAATACTGAACCTTGAGGAACTCCAAAGTCTAGTTTAAAAATTGAAAAAAGAGAGTCGTGTACAACCACAGATTGTGTACTGCTAATCAGGTAGGATCTGAACAAGTCAAGAACCCAGCCAGACAGGCCAAACGTGTTGAACAATCGTTCAATAAGGATAGTGTGATCTATAGTGTCAAAGGCAGCACTAAGATCAAGAAGAGAAAGAATTGATATGTTGTTCGCATCCGCCTCACACAAGAGGTCGTTATATATTTTCTATAGCGCAGCTTCTGTGTTATGAAATTGCCGATAGGCAGATTGATATAATTCATATAAGTTGTTTTCGTTTAAATGATTCTTCAATTGAACCAAACAACTTTCTCCTTGATTTTTGATAAAAAGGGAACGTTGGAGACAGGTCTGAAATTCTTGAGCTCCTCCGGGGAAAGATGTGATTTTTTTAGAAGGGGGGTAACTAAAGCATGCTTAAATAGTGATAGTACTACTCCAGACTGAAGAGAACCATTAATGACGGAAGTTATAAATCCAATGACACTATCAAGATGTGAGATGAGCAGTGGTGTTGAAATGGGATCAAGACTACATGTTTTATGGAGTGATGATAGTATGATTGATCTTACATCTTCTTGTGTTACAAATTCATTAAAGATTGCCCCAGAGAATATTTCAAAACATGGTAGTTTATGGGGAGTCATGTCAATTTTTTTCCTAATTGTGGATATCTTGTCTCTAAAGTATTGATCAAAAACATCAGGAAGGTCACTTTTAGGTACATTCGTGGGAAACTTGTTGCTGGCTGGATCTTTCTTACCAGACAGCCGATTTATATTTTGTTATACAAAATAAAGCTTTAGAAGTGGTGCATTTATTAACTTTTTCGTAATAATACATGAATTTGGCTGATGTTATTAATGATTTCACTGTGTTGTTACAGTGTCTATAAATGTCCTCATGAATTTTTCAGCTTGGTTGATCTCCAACGTCTCTTAGCTCGTCTACGTTCCATTTTAGATTGCTTAATTTCCAAATTCATCAACGTGGCAGAAGGTCGATCAGTCACTGTTCTGGATTTGACTGGTGTAGGTTTGTTTAATAGTTGACACATCGTGGTGTTGAAAGTGTCTACCTTCTCAGAGGTTGAACGATGTATGAATTTTAGTATATGGCGAATGTTCCCTCCAAACTTTTCTTTATCAATGTCCGTTTTCAGGGTAGTTATTTTGCGGTGTCTCAGTTTGGGCTTTCAAAGGACACCATGTAATGATCAGAAATGCATTTATTGTTCTTTACTTGAATTTCACCGATTGCATCGACACAGTCCGTAATCATCCAATCTAATGTGTGGTTTTTTAAATGTGAGTGGGGACATCAATGAGTTGATAGATACCACGAGTATCTGGAATAGATTTGATAGATTTAACAATAGTGTCTAAGGTAGGCCTATCTTCAAAATATAAATTAAAGTCCCCTTAATTTATAGGCTGTGTCTTCTTGGTGGTATGCAGGTCCAGTAAATGCGGGAATTAAGTAATAAAATCTTTAATTGTCAGTTTGTTTCTCCTGCTGGGAGGTGGTCGATGGACACAAATATAAATGACGGGACACCCTTCGATATGTAGACTGATTTCATAAACATTTGAAAGTTTTAAAAGACGAAATGTTCTGTGGAGTGAAGTTTAGAGATCCTTTATAAATGACGCATATCCCTCCTCTTCAACCATTTCTTGGGACGGAGATGGACTAAATCCCGGTGGAGTTAAGCCGGCAATAATGATTTCATCTCCGACGTTCCGCAACCATGACTTCGTTAAAAAAAAATGCGATATCGGAGTTGGACTCAAGTATTAAATCATTGAGTAAGTCGGTCTGTGTGTTTAGAAGAATAATTTTAAGATTACTCGACAAGTCAGTTACGGTGTTCGTTGTGTTAACGGCAATTAAATTCTCGGGAGTAATGACGCTTCCGCGTTCATTTAAACTAACACACCTATTCCCTGTGACAACAATGATTGTTCTCTGTTTTCTTCTACCTCCTCATTTCCCCCTCTTGTATTTCTTAACGTTGCTGGCTGAGTCTTTAGATCTTTCAATACCAAGCTGAGACAAGTAAACGGTCGTTTCATATGTCATGTGTCTTTTTGTTTACAGAAAATAACTGGTCTCTAGTGTAGCACACCTTTGTATATCCCGCAGGGGACTCACAACACACACCTGACTCACAACTTGACAGTGTTCACTTCCACTTTTCAGAAAAATGTTGGTATAGCTATTAACATTATAAACGGGGTGGGGTTGGGTGGTGAACACGACTTTCCACAAAATACTGTAAAGGTTGAAAAATGCAAAAACCAAGGATAGAACTTCAATACCCAAATATATTTCTAGCAAATAGTTGGTAATTTGCGATCAAGCACTTATAAAAATAACACAAAAAACACAAAGGTTTCTTATTTATCCTGTATGCCAACTTGAAAAGCTACAATCCATCCTCAAAATATGAAAAAGACACAAAAATTACAGAGCAGGAAAACGCTGCCTGTCAGGCGCGGACCACCTATACACATTTCTAAAGATTCCAAATGGATGACACACTTAAAACAGCAGTTCCGGAGAAGAACAGAAGAACGTCATAATGACCTCATGAAAGAAAGACAGTTGTCAATAAAATTAGTATATATATATATATAATATATATATATATTGTGTGTGTGTGTGTGTGTGTGTGTGTGTGTGTGTGTGTGTGTGTGTGTGTGTGTGTGTGTGTGTGTGTGTGTGTGTGTGTGTGTGTGTGTGTGTGTGAATGATTGTGACTTTCAACCTACACTAAGGCTTTTGGCCTCTCCTGGCGCCACTTGCTGTGTCTCCTCTGTGATCTGGAGTCCCTTCACTCTCCGCACAATCGTGATGCTCTGTGACACCGTCTTGGAGCTCAGGGGGTTCTTCAACGTGAAGTCTAGCGAGTATGTACCTTCCTGTACAACAGAAAATAACACTTCACTACTTTAGAATTACAACGCTCTATCTGTTCAATCTCTATTTTTTAGATATTTGACGTTAAGAGTTTTGAGTTTCACAACATGTCAAGCTTTTTCGAAAGCAATTCTTTGAATATTTTGATATCGACCCCGAATAATTTTACTATTTTCAAATAGCAGATAGAAAAATTAGATTCTGACCTCATGGTCTAGTAGTAGTAGTATAGGGTTTTCCGGTGCTTGCAACTACTAAGATCATATGAGCGTGCTAAACACAAGTTGTTTACTTTCGCTAAAGTTCACTGCACGATTGGTTAACTATTTGACTTTAAAATGCTAAAGTATTAAAATTCAGTGTAAATATGTTTGCGATTTAAAACAACTCTTATAAGTAACAATAACAATTTTAAATAGTACGATTTCATTTTACAATTTGTCATAAAGGCCAATGGCCTTCATAGAATTCAAAATTTTGTTGGGACCAACGACGGAAAAAATGTCTTGCAATTTCTTGCATTTAGAATATTTCCTTCGGATTTCTCCAAAGTCTAGACATTCGGTTAAGATGTGTCTAACGGTAAAATCTGTGTCGCATCCGACACAGAACGGCTTCTCATCTCCCTGTAGGAGGTATTTGTGGGTCAGGGTCGTGTGTCCGATGCGCAATCGAGTAAAAATGACTTCGTC